CAGTTGGAACAGGACGATAAAGACGAAGAAGCGCAAGAAGGGGAATAAGAAGACGAGAAGGCTTGGGCAATCGCATCCAAAATCCTATTCACCCTGTTCGATGTAGCAAGTAGGGCGCCGTTGATTATCCTATGCGACGGCCAGAGCATCAAGAGATTGTTTGAAGAAAAAGTCATAATGCTGTATTGCGCGGGCAGGATACTGTCAGGTTGCCCAGGCCTAGACAGGAGAAGGATTGGGGTTCTTAACCAAAGTCTTTGGTTCAAAAACCTTACCGCAAGGCAGCGGGGTTTTGACACTGAGTTACAGAGAGTCCGTTCCAGGAAGTAAGGAGCCACCCTCAATTCAACCTGGAGGGCCAGAAGACCATTGACCACCCTGGTGAGTGGCTCTGAAAGTGCAAAAGGCACCATACAGTATAGCTCAATGGATCACTGAGACACACAAACCATCACACTACGTTAAGGTCCAGTCGCGATGGACTCGTTAGCCAAAGAGAAGACTGATGTGGTGTGTGATGCTCAGAGAAAGGTTAGGCGTAAAACGGGCCAAATTAGGTTAGATTGGTGGGATAGCGTGGGTTTCACCGATTAGATTACTCCCCAAATCTGATGAGAACACAGGAATGAGGGGAATAGAGGATGGTAAACATGGTGGCGTTACACCAGTCTGTAGAGCGAAAATTCAAATAATAGACGGGAAAGAATGGCTCCCTTAACCTAAGGGTTTGATGTCCCATTTCCTGCTATAAATAATTAGCTAATGTTACTTTACGGGATTTTCTACCCTTACAATTGTTCAGTATGCAGTTAAATAAGCGAACACAATTTTGTGTGTGAAAGCAAATAAGTGGTCTGTTGCTATGGATGTAAATGATAATAGAGGATGCTTTTGTTAAGTGAACAGTTGTCGACGTAAAAGATGTGGGTTTATATGGCTGCAAACCACTTAATAAGCGTACGTGATGTGTTCCCACAGGCAACAGTTAGAAATCACGGCCGAAAACAGAAAATTATCCCTTATATACAAAACCTCAGGAAACGTTCATTAAAGTAACAAATAAGGTTTCCGCAGTAACTCGAAGAAAAATTACTGTATTAAGCTGTTGCCCATATTCGAAATATTAGTTAAATGTGTTCACAGCAAAACTTTTGTACAAAAAGTACTTTCTTATATCCAATTGTAATACAGACTGGCAGAACATTGCCGGTAACCACATTGAGTTTAAACATGGAACCACTAATTTTCGATGCTGGTCCTGTCGGAGCATGGTATCGTCAAATAGACAGATCACCTATGAATACGCTCGTCTGGACTGTCCCTGACCTCGGACAAGCGACAACCCAGCGGAGAGGGGATCTGAAATTAGCTGTACAGTTGAGAGACGACCATAGAACCACAGAGCATCATAAGTCCAAAAAGAAACGAAGTCAGTATGAACTGAGTGGACCGAATCACTAGAAAGTCATTTAAGGAAAAACGTAGCCCAATCTGAAGTCGTCGTTGAAGGACGCTTTGTGTCTGTGAAAGTGATAAGGTAAGTGGAATAAGCGACGAATGTCATTTCATTGATCATCTTGGAATGAGACAGGTATGGTACCTATGTGTAAGAGCTAAGCAAAAGTGACGAGAGCGGAGGAACATAAAAAGATAGCCCGGGCATTTCACGTTAAGAAAGTGTCTCTCGGCAGCATTGCATAAAAGAGGGTGTGTAGCTGCTTGGTCTAAAATGTGGGTACGAAGCGAGTGCAAATTAACACCAGCGGCAGAACATGTGGTCTAAACGGATATTGTGGAGGATGACTATGGCTACGGGACATGTACCATCTTCATCGACACGATATTCGACAGGTGAAATGAAACCCCGATCACTCACCGCCCCGACGACGCCTAGAAGACCGTCGCGCTCAGCGAAAAGATTGCGGAGAGCAGGAGATCATGGGGTAGCCGAATTAGACCAAAGGGAGAGCATCAACGCAAAGTGTTACTTGCAGAAAATAAGAGCAGTGATAACGCAACAGCTGTTGTGGACAACTTCTCTGGGTCGAAGTTAACCGATCGGAACATATGTCAGTAGGGGTAGCTGCTATCCACGGGTGCAGAAAATTGGGTTACGCTTGCTGCAATGCCATTTAACCTTGCAAACTCATGTCACCGGAGAGAAAAGTGACTGGGTTGCAGGATTTTGCAGACAGAGTTGAACTCCAGTGTACTTCAATGCATCCCTTTGCAACCCAGTTGATACGGCGGTCGGTGCACTCAGAGTCGTTTACTTCGAGCACATGCGCCAGTGTAGAATGAGGCTGATAAGCAGAAATTAATCAATGTCAATATGTCTCGTGCCGGATATAAGCTATGTTGAAATCATCCCGAGTAGACTGTAATCGTCGACACTGGGAAGGAATGGGAGTCAATTCTGCGCGAAGTGCCACGGAAACTAAAAGATGCAGTCACCCAATTACAGTGGCACCCGTTTTGGTGATGAAATGTTTGCAGAGTGATTGTCACGTTCGGTGAGCATATGACCATTTGAATAACCAATCCAAGACCCAAGTGTGTCGAGTCCTTCTGATTAGAAAGACCATATGATAGATTGATGCCGAAGGCGATATAAGCCTATAGTGAACGAATTGATCTCCATGGAAAAGGAAAAGATCACCACCAATAAGCGGAAGATTGGGAAATGACGGTATCGATGATGAGGATGAGAAACCAGGCTGTTGAACAGTTAGCATACTACTGCGCACTATGATGGCGACTGAAAGTCGAATCACGCAAACTAATTAATTGGTTCTGTAGGGTGATCCGATAACGTCGTCACGCAAACCAGTGGCAGCAACCAAGACGAACACGGTAAACGCTGTGGCAAAGCTCTGCGGCATCTGGTACGAAGACAATCCAACTAGAAAACGAATTGTGCGGCTAAGAGCACAACAAATAGGAAAGTTTGATACTCACTTACTGAATTGGGCTCGTGTTTCAAGCCGCTCCGTTATAGTCCAAATATTTAAGAAAGACTCACTTTAGGAATACAGTAACCATAGAGGGATCATTCTGATCTTAAACGCCTCTAAGTCACCTGCATCCGTCACTCTCCATAGACTGACTAGCATCCACGGAAGCCAGATTCGCGAAGAACAAGCCGGCATTCGTCGAAATTGAGACTGCCTTGACCACATCTTTCCTTTACGTTAATTGTTGGAACGCCGCAATACTTACTGGCCGCCCACCGTAGTCGTGTTCCACGCCATCAAAGCTGCCTTAAACTCGATAGGTCGATGTGCGCTTTAGGATTATCCACTCAGGACATGTGCCCGATAAATACGAGGGTAGAACAATAAGCTTCTGGATGCACAAAATAAATAAGCACTAAATTATCTCGAAGTACTCTCCACTAGCGTTCATGCGCTCAAACCATTTGGCGAAGCAGCTAGACCATGCCGAAGCGAGTAACCCTTCAAGCAGTTCAATAAAGGCCTTTACTACAACTTCTGGATTCCACGCATCATGCGCCTGACACTTGGGAACACAAAAAATTCCCCAGGAACCTGGTCCGGACTGCAGGGTGGGTGACCAATCTTCAGAAAGTCTACGACGACATGGGACCTGTGTGCAGATGCCTTGTGATGATGCGACAAGGCCCCTCGTGCTCAATGGAACAATGGAACAATGGTTTATTACGGGTAAAAAAGCATCGCTTAACAAGTCCCGTGGGGTGGAAATTATTGCGAAAATCAATTGCACAATAAAGTGAAAAGCGTTGTGGTGGACTCACCATAGACTTATGTGGAATAGCGGAGATGTTCGCGTATTAAACGTATAAATCCATCAATCCATTGGTTAGGCGTTTGGCAAGACACCGTTTGATTGCGTTTTGTAGCCCCTGGCTAACAAGTCATAAAATGAAATGTAAGTGAGACAATGCATCGTCAACACTTTTTTTAAATATCGCCAGATTGGGAGCAGAGACGACATAATTAGGGAGGGCGTTCCAAGGCTGGCACACGTGGAGAGAAAAGAAATTTCTACGGCATTCAAGCCGGCTATAATGAATTGTCAGTTTCAGAGGGTGACCTCTTAGTTTAATGTTGGGGTTCAATTCCAGCAGCGGGCGGCAAATGTGGTTTGGGTACTTCAGAATCTGGTAAACCATTATGAGATCCCCCGCAAAAGCCGATATCGACTGCTGTAGATTCTTAGAGATTTCAGTCTAAGCTGATAGGGCAGATGAAGGAGGCCCCTGACGTTCTTGGTTGCCCGTCGTTGAGGAGTCTCGAGAGCAACGAGATGCTGTTTCTGCCACGGCTGCCACGCCTGAATAGCATATTCCACGTGAGGTCGCACGTAGGCGTTAAACATTTGGGGAAATATTGAGGGTTCATACCGACCGAAGGCTCTGCGAAGAAGGCCGAAGTGTTGATTTCCGGTTTTCGTCGCCTTCTCTGCTCGAGTCCTTGGACAACGCCTGGCTTTAGCTCCCAACACTTATGGCAGTCAGTGGGCGGCATACCAGTCTTCGATGACTGTGCGTTGCAGTACAAGCGGTACAGTAGCCACATGGCATGGTCTTGGCCACGAGCACAGCCATCATTTGCTTGGCCACATTTCGCTCACGCCGGAGTTTCCGATGTAGTGCCCCAACAACGGCCGTCCACTGAGCCGGTCGTTGCTGGGTCTCTCGGTCGAAACGGTACACCATGTATCATCACTATTGAGGATCTGCCAAACAGCATCGGAAGGTCCACCAGTTAACCTTGCAAGTATGTTGCGGCACCAATTCGCCCGAGCTGCTTTTTGGTCCTCACTGAGCTGATGGGGTACCGAGCGTGCGTAAACCTTTCTGACAGCGAGGTTCTCAAGTAGGATGGTGCGGATTGATCCCGAGGATATCTTGATGGCGTTCCCCAGCTGTGCCATAATCACCGCACATACTACTAGAGCATCGCTTGCACAGTACCAATATTGTCCGCGGTGGTGGCCTCCACAGGTTAACCACATCGTGCCTCATCATCCAGGGACCGTCTGCCACTCTTGAATTTCGCAAACCACTCAAACAAGCTGGTTCTTGAAGGCGCATCGTAACCAAACACAGCACACAATCGCTCAACACTGGTGAGCTTTAAACCACACTTGTAATCATAAAAAATCATCGCCCTCCAGTGACATCGACTGAGTTTCATACGCCGAGTCAGAGTACACCGACCCTTTATAAATTGGGAGTTGTGCTGGGCTGCTGATATAGGGTTCTGTGGGTTGAAATCACTGAATAATGTTCAGAATGGATTACAGTTCACGTTTTTCCTTCTAGGTCATCTGCACCTAATCTGTGTACTGCGTATCCGTAAACGTATTGCTATGCCCTCGTTTGCAAATATCATAAGAGCGCGTAGTTCACGGAGAGCGAGGGCTTACGGCAAACTGTTGCCACCCTTCAAGGATGCCAGCTGTCACCTTTCCTATAAACTTTGACATCGACGAAGTAATGGAAACTACGTCCATTGTGCATGACCTGCAAGGTGCGGACATGCTTCCAAGTGATCAACTGCTCCATATGGATTACTCCACCGACAATACCCTCATTTTTATAGCTCCCAAATCTGTCCAGCAGTACTGGACAGATTAGCACCTGACCGTCAGTCATTTCAGGCTATGAATTGCGCAGTATTTCATCAATACTGGCAGGGAACCACCCATGCGCTGACTCCTGGTGGGTATTGATTATAAATTGTTCAGAAACTCAAGTATGTAGACCACTATATCGGTGCTTGTGGACTAGATGAAATAATCAAAGACCGTGTAGCAAAAGCTCAAGACGCTTCTGCAATCTCCGCTACCAGTTGCGCCGGTGTGACATCGCTCTCGCCTTGAAAGGTAGAGTTTATAATGCAGCCGTCCGTTCAACCGTCCTGTACGGTTGTGAAACCTGGCCCATCAGATCGACAGACCTCAGCAGGCCAGTTACGTTCGACCATCGCTGTCTCTGCAGTTTAGCTCATGTCCGGTGCGAACACCGCGTGAGTAATGAATATGTCCGGCATGGTGTTGTTGGTGCAGGAGGCGCGAGTGAGCCGCTCAGCACCGTCATATCACGCTCCAGTCTCCCACGACTGAGTCACACGTTGCGCATGCCAGAACAAAGACTCATGCGACGTGCACAGTTTGCGCGTCCGGGGTGTGGATGGAAGAGGGGAGGGCAAAGGATCACTTAGTTAAGAGGTATGAAGACCCTCACATCGAACTTCGCCTCGGTTGTTGTCTCCCGACTGCAGGGCTCGAGTCTTAAGGACGATAAATATGTTTGGTTACATAGATCTGTTGACATCGCGAAGAACCGACCTCAATGACGTCTCCCTTCCCCCTCCTACTCAATTATTTCCATCAACCACCTCACTCTAGGCTTAATATAATACTTAGCATTATACTCCTTGCTTTTTAGATTTTAGCATTCTGTCATGCTGAGCATCTCGCTTGTTCATGTATCTTTTGCACTGAGGCAAAATAATTGATGTTTCTCACTAGCGTGTAATGATGACGATGATGAATGGTGGATTACGTTGTACGGGTGCTGAAACATAAAGTAATTACTGGAAAAAACTCACTTCCTCTTTTTTCGTGGGGTGGTGGCTGGGTCTTGTTCTTCTGGAGTCGAGGCGGGTTCAGTTTTTAGAGCTCCGTGCGGGAGCCATTGCAGATATAATATGTTATCCCGAAACTGAAAGCAAAATGGCAGAAACGGGACGCTATCATGCTTGGGATGACCAGAAGAGAGCGCTCGCGATTCAAAATTGCGGGGATCCGATAAATTTCATTATCCTAACCAACGACAATGGTAGTAAATAAGTGACATGCCCTGGTGTTTCGCGGCCCAACAACAAGTTAGGAAAGACAATCAGAACACACTTCGAAATGGGGACCACAACTTGAAACATGGTTTCGGTGGATCGTTAGCAATTAAATTGACGCAGACATTAATTAGCTGTATAAATTGGAAAGAAAAAGCATGAAGCGAGAAAGAGGCAGAGAGTAAGATAAATGGACCCCAGTGAAAGTTCTTTGGCCAGTGCTCCGACTGTCCATTTCGATAGGGTTCAGTTAGAGGAGTCCCATCTATGATTTTTGAAGCAAGAGTCCAACCTACTAGGCGAGCGAACGAATGGAGTCAAGTTCGCTGGGCTGACCCGGAACCTTTAACTTGACCGTCAGATCCCCATGGCAGACGGGAGCAGATTCAGCCAGTGGGTGTAGCCCAAGGTGACACTTGACAGCACCAAGCAAGCATCCAAAGCAGCGGTGCATAAGTCTCGATAACACCATAGGGTCACAAGCAACCAGTAATCATGCGCCGACAAAGTGGTATCGGTGAATTCGCCTCCCTGAGGCCCTCACTATGCCCACGTATATCCCATTTCTTCAGTTTCATTACGAAAATCAGAAAAAGCATTTCTCCCCAAAAGCGGAGGGGTTCAAGTCGACTTCTGTAGCAGGTGAAAGCCACACGAAGGGTCACTGTATCATCCACGTCAAGAGTTGAGATGAGCAAGTCCGGTTTGTGACCTTGATGACTGCAATGGATGCTAGAAGAAGGCTACAACTAGCTACTGATACAATAAACTTCAACCAATCTTTAAAATGGTCGGATGGTCCAACAACAGGCAATGGAGCAAGAGAGAACAACTAGCGATCTGACGTTTACTGATTCTCACTAGGAAGGGATTGTAAGTTTAAGTCACAGAAGCAATAGAATGTTTCCTTTGGATTAAACACAAGAGGTAGAGTGGGAAAAACTATATCGTTTCGAAAGCACCAGAAACACAGCGAGTTCTACATCAATTGAAGTGGGAGTTTTGGTGAGTAAGACTGATTTACATGTGTGGGCGATATAGTCTGAGATAGATATAAGTGCTGCTAAGTGACCCGATTCAGGACGCTACATGTCTGGGTATATATCTTAAAATGTAAAATACTGCCAAACGACAGTCGGCTATCCTAAGCAATACGGAACAGCCACGCAAAGCAGTTGGATGGACTCTGCAGGCTGACATGAGTCTTCAGAGACATAGCTATCTGTAAGCATTATTAGTTTATCGGTGATAGAAGAGCATCTGACGCTACAATTCGACAACTGCAAAGAACAGTGATGAGAACTGGGTGTGTCGTTTATAGGGGTCTGTGAGGCGCTGTTCATATTTGACGTTGCAAACTAGGCACTAACATAGAGGCTCGTTCAGCGGAGTTTGGTAGAGTGTCTTTTCTATGTGCCCACGCTATCATAGCAAGCTGTGCTGCGTCCTCCGAACACAATCTAGTTCAGTGTCGAGAGTGTGTTGGAATGGGTGGAGCCCCAGGGACCAAGTAAAATCCGAGCTTGCTATTTTTGGAACAAGGGCCGAATGACAAAAGTAGGTACGGGTGAGGACTGCCAGCTGACAGTATGCAAGCCTGGAAAAGCAATGCCAGTATTGATATTCTTGCATCTGGCTGAATAAAGCCATTTTCTATCTTGTCGTCTTTAGTTCAATTACGCACATGTTCTGTTTCGACAAGTCAACTTGTTACCACATACAGAAAGAGAAAATAAATGTTTTTATACTTCCCTGCAACATCTGTAGCAAAAATACATTAAATTATCGACAGTGTCATTGCGTAAAATCGGCAGTTCTTGTCTATCCAAGTCACAACAATGGAAAGGAAACCAACTGCAAGACAAATAAGAAAGAGATGCAAAAGAGCATGCAAAATTAGACGAAGCTGCGCAAATAACCAATGGTAGGGACATCCCATACGGTTTGCATCGTAGTCAATAAGGTTGAGTAGCAAGAATAAAAGCAACAAGTGCTCCGTCTTCTCAAAGAAGTCCGAAATTTGACTTTACGTGAGAGAGGCTCGGAGTATACGACATAAAGTGACACCAGCGTTAAAATTCCTGTCCGAACGCGAATGAAACCGGTCGTGGAGTGCCATGTCGATGCGGAGAGGCGGACCGGTTCTGGCACTCGAGTCCATCGTGACCAACCGTGGCCCCAATGCGTAGTGTTGCTACGGTGTCAAAAAGCGAGCGTGTACGCTACACAGAAGGCACACATAAGTCAGGTGACCATTCGTTGTGACCACAAGGAACGCCAAAGCATGAATGGTTGCGGTAAAACTGAGTAGTCGGACGCCTGCGTGACTCCGAGGCACGTGGATGGCAAGAGGAAATGATGGTTATTGCTTTAACACGATATGAGGTGGTAAAAATTGAAATATTTGACTCATCAAAGGTGTTAAAATGCAACAGAGAATATGACATACCGGCTCGTAGGCGAGAGTTCGGTACACAAAGCGCGCCTGCTGTGGCAAGGCGTACTGGACGATGGCGGTGATGCCAAGTGGGGGGACGATAACACGGCGTGGATCGGCCCCTATGACACGAGGTTCGGAGTCATCCTGGGTTGCCCGTTTAGTGTAACGGGACAACAGTTCCCTCACTTCAGCTTCCGTCGTCCCCACTGGGAGGTTTTTGATGAGGAATGCGGTGCCGGATAGCTGATGGAGAGTGGAGGTTGCCGTGGCTTCCAAACGATCACGACGACCGGCTCCGGGAAGGGCCTCTGCTTCTAGTCCCCTGAAAGCATCCAGATCTACGCCATTTTTCTGTAGAAATTCGCGCATTTCCGCAACCAGTTGGGTTTCGCTATGAGCCAACCGCACAGCAACTGAACCGCGTCCTGAAGGAGCGAGGACTTGTTCCTAGGTGTAAAAGGTTTGGAGAGTTTGGATATGCTTAATACTGTATTATGGGAGCAATCAGAAAGTTAACTAAATTATTGAAATATGACCAAAAACGTCAAAACATGTCTGCTACCTGTCAATACGCTGATCGTTATTCAATATGTCGTGTGATATCGTAGTTCTACCGCACAGCACCGTGTGAAATGTTATTATCAGTAGGTAATTATCCCCTGAACTTAATGGTGACGAAATATAAATCCAGAAAATGTTTTTAACAGCTGCACCGAGCTGGCCTCCACTATGTACTTTGGCTGACTGTTCCAAGCAGTGACCACTATATGGTTGAATCACACGTAGTGGGTGACTTGCTTCGGATCTGGGATCACAAGCTTGTACCGGTGTTCGTGTGTGCTGCACGAAGTTCGCAAGTAGAGCAGCGGTCTCAACATGGGGAAGGCATCGAGGTGCGAAACGTAGTGGGTTATGCTGAGACAGAGATTCGCATCCAACAATAAGGTACAGAGTCCTCGTTTCTTGCACTGACCTCAGTAGAGTAAACCCCGCAACCGGGGAATAAGCCTGGTAGCGACGAGTTGGATCCCTCAGATCTTCTACGCTTCGTCTCGGGTGATCGGACATTAGGCTGGCCAGCCTTATCCTAACATTGACTATGGAGGAGAGGCTAGTTATAACCTCTTCAGACTTAGTGCGAATCGGCGTCCAAAACATGCGCAGTCCGTTTCGGTATAGTCTTTGTGTTGTCTATGGACTTCCAAAAGGGGTGAGATGAAGCGGTTGGCCTTTGTGGGTGCAGGTTCAGCCGTCACCACCTTTCTCCATGCTCATGAATACAGACTAAAAGTTGTTGGCCGAGAGTCAGACTTCTACAAACCATATGGACAGGCGGTTGAGGTCTGCTGAAGTGGGCCGCAGTCTTCGGATGTGCTAAGCACTCACAATATCTTTAAGTCACCCGAAAAGAGAGAACTCAATAATCAGAAACAGAGTCGGACCAGTACTTTGCCTTAGAATACGATGTACTGGTCGACGGATACACAGCCGGTTAAATGACCGTCGAGCGGCACCTTCCACTGTTTTTTACTGAGAAACTCGTGAATCCGCAGATATAGTGGGCCACCTACACAGCCCAGTCCTTGCCTGTAGAGAAGGATCTTGTGGTTTATCCTGTAGAACGCTTTGCTGAAATTGATGTAGATCTCGTCGACAAACTTCACATGGTTTATTACCTACAACCGTTCATGTCGCGTCACCAGCAGGTTGGTGATGCATGAGCGGCCGAGCATGAAACTGCGCTATGCGGTTGTCAGATATTTTGAATGGAACAGGTCTAGCAGATTATTCTTCGCGATGTTCTGTTACTTCGAGTGAAGTAGGCTCCAGGCAAGTTGGCTGAATCATCAAAAATGACGTATGGATTAGTGGCAACTTGAGCTTCACTTCCAGAGTGATCCAATACCCTGTCCAGCAGAAAGACCAATGTGCTACGGGGAGTTAAAGGTCAAGTTGAGTAGTGAGACAGATGTTTAAGGCCTGTGTAATATATATCGAGCAGCCTGTCACGAAGTACAGTGATATCGTCAGCGGACCCAAAGCTAGGTCAGTCACCCGGAAATATGTAGAAGCCACTAAACCCGTAGTTTCCCAGCATGTCACCCATAACGAAACTGAAACAGAAAAGTGAAGTAGGGTGACCATGTCATACACAAATGGTGCAGAGAGAGAGGCGGACCAAGATTTAAAAATAAATATTTTTGAGTAAGTTAACGTACGTCCCGCGCACTCCCCAACTCAACGGGGTAATTCCAAAGCGCAACTGCTGACTTAGCGGAATGCCGATAATATGTCTGGAGAGACAAAGATGGCCGAGCGTTTGGCGGCACTCAAGTAACCGATGGATCGCGATGAAAAGAATCAGAGTTCGTCTCAGTAGGAGTTGTGTTTCAGGAGACAAAGCTCATAAAAACTCCGATTTAGGTGATAGTGAAGGGCCAACACATTGAAATCTTGGATGCATGAAAGAGCCCACTGGCACAGGTGGTCCTTTAAACCGCTGCTTAAAACATCTGCCCGACGTACAAGCTGACGAACTGTAGCACACAAGAAAGAGGATAAAAGAGAGCAAATTGCAAGTCGAGTGAGTCAGCAACCAGTTGCTCTAGAGCAAGGCTTGTGGAGTTGTTGACTGGGTAACAATCTGCACTGCTTACCAGCTGAATACAAACAGCATGTTTGAAGACCGAAGAACCTCAAAACTACTACAGGGGAACGATCATCTTAACGATTAAATGTGTGGCTAAAAGAACTCCAACACGACAGGAGGAGATGGTTCGATAAGAAAATCGAAGAGTATGGACAGGGTTAGATGGTTAGAAGGACAGTCGCTAACCTTAGTCAAATTGAATTTTGCAGCAAGATACGTCGCAACCGCGTCCGGTTGAATGAACAAGGTGTTCCAATTGTGAGCCACACCAGCGGAGTCTTTGAGCCGCTTGAATTTGGTTTTTTGAAATTCAGACGATTCGAGGCGATTCCCGGACTGTCCATCGGGTAGATCCCCCGCCTTGCTAGAAGAGTGCTTTCCTAGCAAGGGCTCCTCTCCAGGCAAAATGTGAAGCAATCGACCCTGTGAAGAATAGGGTGCACTAACCGTCAGTGAGGTGCTCATCAATTCTATCAATAAAAAGCTACAACTAATAATTGCCACCTCAGATGCGTTGTGGCAGGGGCGCTCTGGCTTAGGATAAGTGGCAGTAAACCGGTGGAAAGGTGTTACACTCTTCCATAGCCAGATACAGCGTATGGCGTTCATGCTGTACCATATGAAAAATGAACTTACAGGTCTAAATGTTAAGGGAAGAGAACCATTAAGCTCTCATCAGTCTCGGATGAAGAGAACGCTGTATGGCTCTTTACTGTTGACCTACTCGGTATGAGTGGTTATGAGGACGTCTGGAAAGTGCCATCCGGTGTAACTGAATGGACCACTGATGTAGAGAAGCTGTGACAACAAACTAGGACTCAGTCTCCACGCAAATGATTGAGAGCATAACCATTTTCTAAGTAGATTAGTCCGTAATTCAGTCAATACACGATATGATCATGTCCCCACCAAAGTCAAGTCAAAATGAGCTTTCAGCACTCGCGTGTGGAGACCGTGGTGCATCTGAGTGGCAATCAAGCGGAGCATGTAAAAGAAATCGCTTCATGATACAATGAAGTATCTTGACTATATCGAGATGGTTTAAGGATCTCAGGAGCGCACAGCATCAGTACAACTCAATCTTACGTGTGGGATCATTTTCAAATGATAATTCCATGCCACACAGGCTTGTGCCTCTGACCCCACTGTTAGAGTCTGGCAAGCGCAGACCTAATGCTCAGTAGCTGGACCGAGCCGAATTCAGCGAAACAAAATTCACCAGACCAAAGGGAGACAAATTACACTATAATCGATGTGCGTACAATGCCCCGATCACGCATTTTTGAGTAGATCAATTATCGTGGAATTGAGCGGTGGACGGGCACACGCATGGCAAATGTGAACAATCAGTAGGAAGGGCAAAGCGGTAGGGGGCCATGAGGATGCCAAAATCGACTACTCCAGGGAAGGAATCTACCAACCGCTCTTGGGAAGAAGAAAGTCCGGATCTCGTTGCGTCATAGCTCGGCTCTTCATATATTCCTGCAGTGCTCCGGAAATATTAAAAAGAGCTCAGTGACGGGGAACTTGAACAAGTCACAAGAGGCTCATAAGGGGCTTGACACCAGAAACGCGCAATCCGTAAAAATGACGTGACAGCATGAACTGAAACAGTCAACAGATAGACTGGCCAGTTGCATCGCTTCCTTGCAAGTTTATCTGTCCGGCTGAACATATTCGAACAGTGAACGGAATTATGCTCCTACGGTTAGAGAACAAGGTTAGAGTGCTAATAGAAATGATCGGATATCGGCAAAGATCCGGATTTTCCGCGATTCCGCGAAACGCAGAAAAACCGTGGAATTTTCTAATTGTCATGAAAAATAAAAAATTTCGCGGAATCGCGATAAAAATTGAGAAATTCATAAAGAAAGCTACTTTGAATTCGTTTTCGTTGTAATCAATATATTTGTATTCGGAAGAAATGCCAAAGCATCCAGCTGACTTTTGAAACATTCCTCTGGAGTATCATCACCGCCATCTGCTATCCAAGTCCGCTTGTCCCCAGACCCGAGTGTCACCCATGCATCTAGCCAGTAAGCAACCGTGTCCCAGCGGTTTGCCCACGCTGTGCACTCATTCCGTTATCCAGTATACAAAGACTCTTTGTCCACATGTACATTAAATCTGTTCGACATCTGTTCGGTCACACCTTTTGCGCATGCCTAGCCGGCACACACCATCACCCATTACGGTCACCCGTGGACGTGATGCGCTGTCGCCTCTTAGGTGTTGAACAGCGGCCACATCATTGCATAGGACTCGGTGGTGCAATATAAGCAACCGTGTTAATTCGCTGAAAGACGGAAGTCATCGTCATCTGTCACTATAGTGGCGAGAACGGTGATTTGTACCCTCGTTGAGTACTTCGTGAAGATACTGTTGTGCCAGTATTGAGCAGTTACTGTTGCGGTTTGTCATTACTGAATATTCATCTTCCTTTGAATAGTACCGTAGTTCAGTCTCAGATTCGTTTTCTTTTGACTAAGCGAATCTGGTGCTTACAATAATCAACAAGTTTTATCTTTTGCAGATGTCATCTCAGAAAAGGAAACAGCATGTAAGAGGAAAAAGTGCCCTGGACAGAGAGAAGGAATTCCGTGGAGAATACGTCAATAAAGCGGATAAAAAAATTACTGTTTTGTTCATCGTATGAAGTAACTGTGGATCCATCTCGAAAACCAGCGGTGTTTGATCACATTCGCAACCCGAAGCATCTTCAGAAAAAAAGTTTGCATGGAGCAAGTAGCCAAAAGGGAACCAGCTCCGAAGGAAGCTCGACAAGCAAGCATCGTTAGTTCCATCGCTGTTGCGAATGCTGCCCAGGAAGTCTGCGACACAGTGGTATCTGACTTTCTACTTCCTATGGTATCTGCGAATATCCCTCTAGAATAGGCCGATAACTCGTTGAGGAAATTTCTTCACAGACACCTACGAAATGGTGGAAGCATTGTCGATTCTGACGCGCTACGTTTGAAAATTCCCCAAATCTACGGGAAAGATGAGCGGATGTTGAAACAGATGTTCCATGATACCTTTGTCAGCGTTATAACAGACGAAAGAACTGATGATCGCGGGAAGACGGAACTACACATCCTGTTATGCGCACCATTGAAGTCCAACAAGGACAGTCTCCGAGCATATCTCATCGACACGATCAATATGGAGAGTCAATTCTGCCACAGTTGGAGAAGCCATTCTGCGCAGCTTGACAATGATGGGTATATAGTTCAGTCGTGTGACAGCCTTTGTGTCCAATGGCGGTAGACATTTGACACCATATTACCGAGATGTCACTAATCCTGGTTGTGAGGATTCCGTTCACATCAGATGTGTTGCCCAGTGAAAATGCAAATTCGCTCCGGAAGTCGAGGAATTCATTGCAAAAATGAAAAGTGCTTTTCGTCTTTTGGGAAGAAAGAGGCGTGTCTGCATGGAGTATCTAACTACGGAGGGCGTGGATAACCCAACCGGCCCACCTGCATCGGTCATCACCCGCTGGAACTTCTGGCTGGAAGCTGTCGCACAACACAGCAAGTATTTCCATCATTACCCAGCCATATTACAAGCTGTACAACACGAGTTTGGAGACTCAGCTGTTGTTTGTGAACTAGTGGATATTCTAATCAAGGGAACAACACAGAAAGCTTTGAGATGGCAAGTTCGTTGCATTACGACTGTTGAGGAGAAGATTATCCGTCACCTGAAAACTGCCGAATCACATTCTCCGGCAACCCATAAGATTTACAACAACCTCTCCGATCTATCCATGTCGCTGAAAACTGCCGCTGAGGAAAACTGGCTGCAACATTTGCAGGCAGATGGACTCACCTTTGACGCATTTTTAATTATGCCCATAAGTGCTTTCAACCAGAAGAGTTTATCATCTTCGGGATTCCGACCCGTAAGTCTCGAGGCAAAGACCTAGGACGAGTTTGAAGTGGGAGCTATCAATCCTCTTGACCGAATCATCCGTCGGTCTGTCCTGCCCTTCTCCTATCCACGGCTGTCATGCAAACAACGCATTTCGCGAGAGTCGGCGACAATTATCTGCAACACGTGGCCCAGCTAAGAAACCTTGGTGCGTGAAATAACGGTGCTTAGCGGTCCACTTGTTCTCCTAGTGCCAAAACAAGATGGTGCACATGCCTATTATTCATATCGTGATCCCATTAGATATAAGGCTAACCGCTATGGAACCGGTGATAAAACGCAACTAGCTCCTCTATGTTTGCCAATCTGATGCGCCAGGTTTCGCAACTGTACAGTTAGATGGAACAGAGGGAAGCGTTACAGACTCCACCATCTAGGGGCAGCAGGTTATGCCAGTGTCATAAGCTACGAGCACTATCAAAAACCCGATATTTTGCTAGGTGTTTTGTGACCATATCTGTTGTCCCAAAGGCGCTGTATCTTGGTACCTTTTTAAGTTGATACCCATTAAAATGCAGCACAGTGTTAGGTCTTTGCCAACCCTGGAGGCACAAAACATGGACTGAAATACTCAAAACAGCCAGTGTCAATCTGTCCATTGCTGACTGGAACCCTTGTAGCTTGTCATATAAGTACAATATCGCCAGCGTACTCCAAATGGAGAATTACATCAACGGTGAGCAATTGCACATCTAAGTCGAGTCCGGTGAATGCAACCTCTGCAATCTTGCCAATAGAGAACTTGAAAAAGAGGTAAGAGCGGGTAATCTCGTTTTACAAAAATGGAGATTCTGGGGGACGACAGTATCAGCCTCGACTCAATAGGAAATATTCGCCTAAAGCGCTATAACAGTACTTAGATGCTTCTTCTCTAGCACACCATTACTGCTAAGCCAGTCCCAAATGGAAAATCGATCCAGCGAATCAAATGCACTTATGATATCGAGAAGTGCGACTGGGATAGGCTTCGATATATGTGATGGGACGCTAATAACTGACGTAGAGTAGAGATGTGATCAATACGACTTGGATTTCGTCCATACTGGTAATTGGATTTGCCATGTGAAGACATAGTTGTTTCTAATAACACGCCAGACGAACACGTGACAATAGAAATTCAAATATGCTCAGTGTGTAGTTGTTACTCAGCCAGAATGATAGAGAGCTGATAACCAATCAGAGCAACCGGCCTCTCAACAACTTCGCACGCGTCCAACGAAGCGCAAGCACAGCGCAACACATACAAAGTGCATGATCAGAGTCTCTGCTTGTGCCCCAAACTTAACGGCAGTTTTGAACGCAGCCACTCCAACGCTACCTAATCCCAGTTTGATCAATTTGCGTCCAGTGGTCGACGACAGCAGAGGCGCTATTGTTGCCGACTACGAGCCATGTCCGGTAACGTCTCAAGTCAAGAACAAGGTGGATCACGTGGACTCCGAGCTGGAAAGCGGAACAGACCAACGGAACACACTTTGGTCGTCAGTGACTTCGTTTTGCGCCTACCTAGAGTCCTGCACCATTCTACATCT